CTTGCCTGAATTATATCACCCAAACTATTCTCTCTTTTCACACCTTTTGCATCCCCACCTCTGCCACACTGCTGATGTTCCTGCTTCTTATATTATTGAGGAAATAAAAACCAGAACACCCAAGCCATCTCTAAAACTTAAAAACTGTTTATGTTTAGAGACAGCTTCTTTTGTCCCCTACGGAAGAAGTGGAAGAAGTCCCTTTCTCCCAGCCCAGGCTTCTCTTCTCTGCCACTATCTAAAGGGCCCCTCGGTCTCTTTCAATGCAATCTACCATCATATCTTTAAAAGCTCTTCTCTCAGCACTGGAACACAATTTTCTGTTTTTCTCCTGTCCTTCTGTGACTCACCCTGTCTCCTTTTCTGGGTCTTTCTCCATCCTACATCCTAGTGATCACCTTTCCCATGACCTTCCCTGAAACTGATTTTCTCTCAAGATTCCCTTCTAAGGATATTGCATCGATTCCCTTGGATGTAAATATCATATTCAAGCCAGGTGCCGTGGTACACACCTGTAATCCTAGCAATTTTCAAGCCCGAGATAAGTGGTTTGCAAGTTCGAAGCCAGCCTCAGCAACTTAGAAGATCCTCAGCAACTTAGTGAAACCCTGTCTCAAAATACAAAATAAACGGAAACTGGGGAGCTGGGCATGGTGGTGCCTGCCTGTAATCCCAGTGGCTCAGGAGGCTGAGGCAAGAGGATTGTGAGTTCAAAGCCAGCCTCAGAAACTTAGCAAGGCATTTAGCACCTCAGCGAGACCCTGTCTCTAAATAAAATATTAAAAAGGGCTGGGGATGTGGCCCAGTTGTTGAGCGCACCCCTGGGTTCAAGCCTCAGTATCAAAAAAAAAAAAAAAAAAAAAAAAGAACCAGGTTGTAACTCAGTGGTAGCATGCCCCTGGGTTCAAGTTCAAGTACCATAACAAATAAATAAATATCACCTTTATTCCTGCTCTAGATTCTGAGAATATAACCCCAGACTCTTTTTGGAGATACAGAGTTGATATCCAATTACATATCTAAGATCGTTACTATGGTGTGTCTCAACTTGGACTCAACTTGTCCCTAATGAAACTCTTGATATTTCATTCAAACCTGTTCTCCCCAGTCCTTATCTGTCACATCATCCCTTTGGTTTCTCAAAGCAGAAACTCATGAGGTCATCTTTGATTCTTTGATTTTTTTTCCTCACCCCAATTCTAACCTATCAATAAATCCTAACAATTCAAACTCTGATTATAATTTTTTTAAATATAATGAGACCTTCCAGACTTGGGTCTCTGCATATATTCCCTTTCCCTCAGCTTTGCACTGGTCCATTTTTCTTCCTCTAGGTCTTAACTTCAATGTCATCTCCCCTAAGAGACCCCGCCAGACCACACTAACATAGTCATGTGTTACTCTCCATCTCAGGGTCTTGTTTGTTTTCTTTCTAGATCACAAAATCATGTAGTTTGTTTCATTTCTTATTTTTCTGTTTTCCTAAGTGAAGACTCATACCTCATCATACATAAATTCAGAAAGAACTCACTGTGTTTTCCTTAAATGAATAAATATTGTTGGCATTTATTTGTTCTGCAATTCCTATTTCTGTTTAAACATGAATTTGAAGACAACAATCATGAATCATCTGGTACTTCCTATAACAGCTAGCATGACATTCTATACAAGGTGCAGACCTGGGTAAATCATTTAGTAGATGAGTAGATTTCTCCCTCTCGTGCCTGTGGCTCATTAGCCAGTGGGAAGCTCCTCCCCACACTCCTGAGGACACCATACCTGGAGAGTGCAGAGCTCTTTGCCTCTTCAACTTTCTGAGCTATTTCTCTCTTTTCTATAGTCACTCCCAAGCTGGAATATCTTTTTTTTTCTCTCTCTCATTTTATATCATTACAATATTCTCCAAAAATCAAGAAGACTTAGAAAACTCAGTCTTCATCATTTCAATAGAAAGATATTCACGGTGTACCAATACTACCTGGATTGGAGTGAGGGAAAAGGTTGGTAAAAATAATTCTAGAGGAATTGACAAAATAAACATGTGAATATCCACAAAAATTCTGAAAAATAAGAGTGTTGTGAGAAATTGAAGATCTCTCCGACATTTAAATATATTACAAGGTGGAAAGTGGGAGGGAAAGGTTTTGATTCCCATGATGGCCATCATGCAGTTTCAGTTATTTAAAGTTTATAACTTGCCTATAATCCCAGTGATTCCAGAGGCTGAGATAGGAGGATCTCAGGTTCCAGGCCAGCCTTAGCAATTTAGAGAGTCTTTACACAATTTTGCAAGGCCTTATCTCAATAAAAAATAAAAATGGTCTGAGGATGTGACCTGGTGGTTAAGCACCCCAGATTCAATCCCTAGTACCAACAATAAAAATATAGTTTGTATCTGCCTAGCAATAGTATACTTATTCTTAAAGAGATTAATGCAGAGATTAGCAGAAGACAGAAATTAAATGGAGACCATTTAACTGTGCCAACCACATGAGGTAAATATACATTTATGACATATTACAAAGTTGGCATTCAAATCAGTGGGAGAACTATATGGAATATTTATTGGTTCTAAGCAAACAGGAGTTGAAGGGTGGACTTCCTGGATTGAAGAAGTACCTTCGGTGTAAGGATTGAAGGAGAGAATGGGAATGTGTCAACAACAGAGTGCCCTGGAACAACAGGAACCTGTTTTAAGAACATGATGCCAACTATGAGCAAAACTTAGACAATCATTAAGAAGAGAGAATTCTTCAATTTTGGTATTCCAGATGGTAACACAGGTTCCTCTAGTAAATTAGCACCTACACAAAAATGCCTGTGCTTCATCAACATTCTAAATCAGGTGACTTAAATATCTGGCAAGAAAATACTAACACAGGGCTGTTGGTAAAAATCAGCAGTGGAATGCTTGTTTAGCATGCCCAAGGCCCTGGGTTCCATCCCTAGCAGTGAAAAAATGAGAAAGAGAGAGAAAGGAGGAAGGAAGGAAGGGAGGCAGGGACCAATGTATGGGAAGAAGATGGAGCCTGGCAAGAAGTTCTGAGACAGCAGAGAAAAGAGAGGAACCGGACCACAAAGGGAGAAAATGGAAAAGAAAGCACAGTGTCTAACAAGGAAGGAACAAGATAAAATTGGTAGGAAATTTTATAACATGTATTCTTCAAATGTCATGATACCTGTAGGGGAAATCTAGCTCCACCAGTCAAGCAATGTTTTATGAATTTAAGAACATTTTCAGAATATAAACATATTGCTTGGTTTTAATTCACTCACCAAGCCCTCTAAGAAATCAGAGTTTTACCAAATACCTTGAACTCTTAGTGATTAAGACTCAAAAGAACAACAACAACAAAAAGATTTAGGAGAAAATTTTTTTAATGTGCTCTAGATGTAAAACAATTATTTGCTGTAGAGAAATTATTAATGAAATGTCATAGCACCTCTCAAGCTAGTTTTCTAGCTGAATAAGTGAGAGTAAGTAATTTTATGGTATAAAAGAACTCTGCTGCTTATTATTCTTTCCTTCATGGCCTAATTATAAAATAAATGATTTTAATATTCTTTTGTTTCTACAAATACCTGTCCTGAATTGAACATATAGCAGGACTTAAGCTGTTTTTATTATCAGAAACTGGTACTAGCATATATTTCTTTAATTTGAATTGGCATTACTTATGTTTGGTATGATACTAAAGTTGTCATTTTTGATTTTTCAGAAAATGGCTTTAAAACCATAGTTTTATTTATCATAAAAATTTTCTATATCACTATTTATTTTGGATTATGTTGTAATGTTATACATATTTGTAATTTATAATGCATGCATAAACATTTAAAAGTAAAGAACAAATTTATAATATGTAAAATGGTTTGGCATACAAGCAGGAATATAGAGAATAATGAAACAGAATAGAATCAAGAACATATAGTAAATATATATTTATGGCATATTACAAAGTTGGCATTCAAATCAGTGGGAGAACTATATGGAATATTTAATAAATGGTGATAGGACAAATTGTAACTTAGAAAAAATAATTAGATTCCTATACACTTTCACCAAAGTATATCTTGGGTATTCTAAGTTATCCAAAATATACATTGAAAAATATTCATTACAACATTGTACACAACCTCAAAACAAAATAATAACTTGAAAATAACACAATGTTTGTCTATTTATGTTACATTCAAAAAATGAATACCATACAATTGTTGAAAAGAATTCAGAAGATCTGGATGTACTGATGGAAAAAATGGGAAAATGTCCAAAATATTTTTTTGGATGATAAAGACAAGCTACAGGAAAAAAAAATCGTGTGTATGTGTGTGTGAGTTTTCAAGAGTACATTTGCACATACAATTTTCTGGAAGTATACACAAAAATCTAACAATGATTACCTCTAGGACTGACAATGGAGGTAGGCAGGAAAAATGATTTTGAGTTTTGATGGTATACCTTTTGGTGTTTAATACCAAGAGGTTGAAATTTTTCTGATAAAACATTAAGTAAAGATAAAAATAATCATGATAAGAAGGAGAAAGTGAAGAAAAGACAAAGAAAGGGGGAAGAAAAAGAGAGAATCATATTAATATCCAAGTTTCAGTATACTTGCAGGATAATTGCTAGCGTAGGTAAAATTTGATTTCACTTCTAGCCAAGTTGCTAGAACTATCAACTAGGGAGTATATAATCTTAGTACTGAACAGGCTTTACATTATCTGGTACAACTTCATTCTACAGATGAGCACACTAAGAGTGGCTCAGGCTTCCTGGAAATCTGCCATTACAGGGACAGTATCAACTTTAAGACAGCCTCACATTAAAGCTTGAAAGTCCAACATCAGCAGCAAAATATACACGGAAAAGCAAAGACAAGGATATAAAATAGAATGAAGCAGAGGGAACAAAGGTGTCAGTTACTGATCCTCTCTGTAAGGTGCCACGCACAGAAGCAAATACCTCAGGGAGCCATGGCAGGGGTGCTCAGCCTTACCTTGTAGTGACTGATGGCAGTTTCAATGGTCGGCTCAGAATGAGACTGGTGTTCAGGGGACTCCAGGCATTCCACGCACAGTAGACATTTGCTCTTCTCACAGAACCTCTGAAACCTCTTCTGGTGCTTGTGGCAGATGTAGCCTTCCCCCAGTACCCCCTCAGAATAGGGCTTCCTGCAGAGGGGACAGCAGAGAGCCCCAGAGGCCAAGGCCTTCTCCATGTGCTGGGCCAGGCACACACGACAGAAGAGGTGTTTGCAGTCCGTGCTCACAGCCTCCTTCAGGTGTTCTTGGCAGATGGGGCAGACAGCCTCCTCCTGTCTGTCCTCTTGTAAAGAGACCATGGTCTCCAACCTGTCCCACCAGCTTCCCACTGGGTCTTCTGAAGAATCCTGCCACACTTGATACTCCTAGATGAGAGGGCTCAGGTGGATGGACCCAAAGGACACAGCTCAGGCTCCAACTTCAGGCAGTTGCCCCCTTTCCATCAAAGGAGACAGTTCTGGCCACCTAAACCATGATTCTGAATGAGTTTCAGAAATACCTCATTAGCTTTGCTATGCATCCTGTGGTTTCCCTATATCTGCTTCACTTGAAATCACTATTTACATACAACTCTAAGAAGCAGGTGATTAAAAAACTCTTTTATTTTTCCCCCCTGTTTTCTCTTGAGAGCTTTCTGTGAATATTTATACAGTTCAAAATTAAATGGCCAGGATGTCATTGTCATAGCCAGAAACAGAACCACCATAATTTACAAGTTGAAAGTCTTCTCTGATTTGCTGTTGGTTGCCAGGATTCTGCAGGAGTTCAAACTGTTCTCGCCCACAGTAACGTACTGCCGTTGATACAGCCAACCATTTATAGCAGCATGTTGTCAGCAAGTCATTTTCCTAACTAGCATCTTTTCCTCGGTTATAGATGCCACAATGAAAGAGAAAGAGAAAGAAAACAGGACAGAAAGCAGAAGAGAGACTTGTGTAATGTTTGAAGCCATCTTTTTCTTTCTTTTCAAATCATCTCCAAAGATGACCCAAAGGAAGTCTCTGCCACACCACTTCCCTTAAATATGGTGTGTTCACTCTCATCTTGCCTAACTTCCTTCCCCGCAAAAGCTCTTTTATAATCCTACCTTAATTTCTCCTTTTGGATTTCAGGTCATTTTCTCAGGCTCCAGATCTGGGGAGAAGGCCGGCGGGTGAATGGTTCCTTCTTAAATCAGGCCAATTATATATGCTCATGGGTCCGTAAAACTGGGGGAGAGGTGGAGCAACTCACCCAATCTTAGAAACACTGAATTACCAGGGAAATGAAAGTCCCTGTGACCGAGGGTAACTGGAAGAACAGGTGGACTTTGGTTGTTGCAGGGTGTGGCTTGTTTGCTCACGGGAAAGAGGAAAGTCTTGGTGCTTTTAATGCAAATATTACAGAAACTGACAGTCAACTCAGAATGGAGGCCACCAGAATCCCAGCTTATGGAACTGTAGGATCCAGGTGTCATGAGACCTTGACACTTACTGCTGGATGATGCTGGACCATCAGTTGCCCACCCCACTGTCCTCCAGTAACCTTCCAGTCAGGCTGATCTCAGCATTGACATTGGGAGAGACACCAGCTGGTGCCAGTAATAAGGATTGCCGCTTGAGGCTTTTAATGATCTAAGAGTCTTATTTGAAAACCTCAATCCATAGCCCCCTCCTTCAATCCTACTTTGCCACCGATTGCTATGTGGAGTTGGGTGGTATTATAATAAGATAAGTATACTTTTGGTCTTCATCCCTGGTTCTGGAAGACAACTCCTCAAACCCTTGTAGTTTCCTGAGTGATAGAAGTGACTGGTGTATATTTTGCTATTCACAATAGGACCCTTTCAACCAAACCTGATTTTATGCCAAAGAGGTGGCTCTTAAAATATGGGGCCAGTTACTAGAAAAGCCAATTATGGTTAGAGAGTTGGAACTTATAGCTCTACCTCCTACCTCGAGAAAGAAGAGAGAGTCCTGGGAACTGAGTAATCACCAATGGCCAATAATTTGCTCAATTATACTTACATATTGGAATATTCATGAAAGTCTCAACAAAAGGGTTCAAAGAACTTCCAGGATGGTAAATGCATCACATGCTGGGAAAATGGTGCTCACCAAACTCAGCAGGGATACAACTCAGCGGGGACACAAGATCCTGTGCTCTTCCCTTCTGGAGCTTACCCTATGTACCTCTTCATCTGGCTGTTCGTGACTTCTTTGCACCAAATCAGTAATAGCAATTAAAGTGTGTTTCTGAGTTCTGTGCACGATTACAGCAAATTGTTAAGCTTAAGGATGGGGTCATGGAGAATTCCAATTTGTAGCCAAGTCAGCCATAAGTGTAACCTGGGGACCCACTACGTATGATGTGCATCTGAAGCAAGAGGCAGTCTTCTGGGACAAGCCCTTAATCTGTGGTATCTGTATTAACCACCGATAGTGTCAGAATTAAGGACATTTAGTTATGTCAGAGAATTGTAAAATTAGTTGGTGTGAGAAAAATAAATCCACATATTTGGTGCCCAAATGTTTAAACAGATTTTCTTTTAGGTTGATACCAAAAAGTCACTTTCTCAAGTCATAGTTCCTTGGCTTTCTTCTCAAAGGAGATGACTCCCTAAAATTTCAAGGTCACAGGTGGGGTGGGTACCTTCCTCACTCCATACCCCCACCTCCTGACCATTATTTCTCAGACTCAGAGTAAGAATATCTGTCTGAAAGATCTCTGGTTGTCTACTCTGGCTCTTCTTTGCTACCGTTCACACACCTGTCTCCTTTAATTCATTGAGGACTTGGGTACAAGGATCACAGGTTTGTCCTTACCCCATGTCTTTCCATTATCCTAAGTACAAGACTATATAAATGGACATCCAACACTGAAGTCCGTCAGTTCCTTGACCTTGACCTGCCCACATCTAATGACCTTCCCTTTTGCCACCTACCCTGTGACCACTCTCTGCACTTCATTGGAATTCAGATTTCAGCACTTGAAATCACAAATCTAGGCATCAACCTTGTCCTGCTGCTCTCTGTAAGCTACTCACTGCCACACCTGTTCTTTAACCTCTAGTCCTTGACCCTCCTGCATTGGACATTTCTGCACAATCTCATGGGATAATATAGGAAACAAAATATAGAAAAATTAAATAACTTTCCAAAGTCACAGTGGGGCAAATCTAGACCTGGGATTCAGATTTGAATGTCTGTTATCCCAGACCCATGGCTTCCTTGCCACAAAGTGTCATCTCTCTCCACACCATTCCTTGCCCTTGATAAATGAGTGGGTGAATGGATAGATGGATAGAAAGACTGATTAAGTGGATATATGGCCACATAGATGAAGAAAAATATCATTTTATGCCAATGTGGAATATTGATCATACAGTAACTTTTACTATAGTTATTTAGGTACTTGTTTTTCTTACAGGTTTATTGAGCAACTTAAAGGCAGGAACCCACTATTTAGTAATATTAGCTTGTGTATGTGTGTTTGTATATGTGTGTGTGTGTGTTTGTATGTGTGTGTGTGTGTGTGTGTGTGTGTATGTGTGTGTGTGTGGTGTTAGGGAATGAACAGCTTTATGCCTATGCTGTACCAACAGAACTATACCCCCAGACCCCTGAGTAATATTAGCTTAAGAAAAAAATTGTAAGTAAGGCTGGAAATTTATGAAGTAAGGGTTTTTACACACAATTACCTGATAATAACTCACAGAAGACTCTGCCAGACTCCAAGCTTTAACAAAAATACTTCTACAAGGACATCTACCAAGCAATTGTCTATTTAACCTTGAACTGATGTTACTCAAGTTATTTGCCATTATGGCCAAGAAACAATGTTTCAAAATATCTGATGTAATCTTCATTTTTGAAAACTTCAAAAACTTCCCCTTGTCCCAACCTCCTTGAATACACCCATAGTTTGCTGGCATGCACAATCCCAATGCAGTGCTATTCCCAAATAAATATCAGTATTTGGGGGAAAATATGATTTTTAAAATTTAGATTGACAATCCTAAACTTGAATTTCAGTGATATTTTCTCAATTTACATCCAAACTTATGATTCTGGGACCTTAGTTCAAGCAGTCCCCTCCTTGTAATTCTCTTTTCCTTGGCTATTGGTTCCCTCTCACCTCACCCCTCTAATCATCCGTAAAAGGTGGACTACTCCAACCTTGTGTCATGAGGTGTAGCTAAATGAACTTCCAAGGCAGAGGCCCCAGGTTCATGCCACCACTCTTTTCCTACCTGAGCCTCAATGCCATTCAGATTCTTTTTTCCTTGTCTTGATCTCCTTGAGTTTAAATTCCTGCACATCCTTGGATGTCCCACCACCACTTCAAGTTCAATGTACCTTCTAAATTATTCCTACCTGTATTTTAACCTGCCACTCTGCCCAGAACAGGAATAGAGAGGGTGCTTCAGCTGAGTGCTTTTGGTAGCTGACTCTGGGTGCAAAGTAAGTGGCACTGCCTCTCAAGTTGGAACATGACTTCTTCCTTTCACCTCTGGAAGGTAGACTGCTGCTGCCATGACTTGAGAGCACTAGGATATTTCTTTTAAAGTTGGTGACTTAAAATTGGCAGTGTAATTACTCAGAGCAAAATATAATAAACACTGGAAAGGATGTGGGGTAAAAGGAATAGTTTTATACTGTTGGTGAGATTGTAAATTAAATTAGTACAACCACCGTGGAAATCAATATGGAGGTTCCTCAAAAGACTAAGAATTACTATATGACACAATATAATTAAAAGTCAGCACACTATAGTAACACATGCATACCCATGTGTATAGCTGCACAATTTATAATAGCCAAGTTATGGGACCAGCCCAGTTGTCCATCAACAGATGATGGGTAAAGAATGTGGAACATATACACAATGGAGTTTTACTCAGCCATAAAGAAAAATGAAATTATTGCATTTGCAGGAAAATAGGTAGAACTTGAAAGCATTATCTTAAGTAAAATTAGTCAAACTCAGAAAGTCAAGAGTCTTATGTTTTCTCTCATATGTGGAAGCTGGAGAAGAAAAAATGATGGGGGAATCTCAGAGAGACCAGTAGAGTAGAAGAAGGGGACAGGGGGAGGGAGAAGAAGATAAGGGAGGCACTGGAAATGAAACTGGCCAAATTATATTGTTATATTTTGTGCATATTCAAATATGTAACAGATTCCACTATTATGTATAATTGTAAAGCACAAAAAATAAAGAAAAAGAAAAGATATCTGGCTGTGTAAAATTAGTCATAAAATATGTAGACGGGGTGGGGGTGGAAGTAGGAGAGAAAGAACATAAAATTGTATAAGAGAAAGAGGGAGCCAGGAGAAAGGTAGAACCTACAGGGCAGCAGAAGGCAAGGAGACTGGGGACAGTTTGCCAATGAGACATGTCATGTGGGAGAAATGTCAAAGAATGGTGAAGAATGTAAATGCCTAATACAAAATCTTAAGTTATCTGCTCTGCAATTTTGTCCTTTGATGAAAGCCATCCTCTAACCTGGAACTCAACACCACCTCTCCCTTAAATCTCCAGGAAACTGTCAGTTGATATAATATACACAACTACTTGAGTAAGAAACAACATAAGTGTGGTGGACCACACCTGTAATCCAGCGGCTTGGGAGTCTGAGGCAGGAGGATACAGAGTTCACAGCCAACATCAGCAACAGCGAGACCCTAAGCAACTCAGTAAGACTCTATCTCTAAATAAAATACAAAATAGGGCTGGGAGTTTGCTCAATGGTTGAGTGGCCCTGAGTTCAATCCCTGGTATCCAAAAAAAAAAAAAAAAAAAAAAAAGTAACGTACGAGAAATTACAGATTTCAAATATTTTCACCAAGAAACAAAAACAAGTAACGTTTGATGATGTGGATCCCAGAAAATGAAGTGACTCATGAAGTTCAGGAGATGTGGGTGCCTCAGCAGAGACCTTAAGAATTGCTAGTACAATCCCCGAATTCCACCCAATAGCATGGAGGAAACAGCCCCAAATACCTCATGATCACATTTACTTACAAAGAAGAAAAAATTAAATTCATAGAAGCAAAGAGTAAAATGCTGATCACCAGCTTCTAGGGAAAGGAGCAGGTCAGGGAGGTATTGATCAAATGATACAAAATTTCATACAGAAGGAATAAGTTGAAGAGATCTATGTCATGTTGACTACAGTTAGCAAAAGTGCAGTTTATTCTTTGAAATTTCTGAATGTAGATTTCAAATATTTTCACCAAGAAACAAAAACAAGTAAACAAACCCCCAATTAACCTGAAATGTATTGAGGCAGTTCATCATCCACAGGTTGAGAAAGAATCTTACAAAACATCTGCTCCTAAGAACAGCCAGATGGACCAGTATGGACATTTTGCTTATAGAAGTTGTGGAGAGGGATGAATCTACCCTGAGTGGAATGTATACAAGTGGTTGACTTACTGTAGGCATTAAGTGAGACACACCTATTTCAACAAAATGATGAGGTTACACAATTAGACACTTCCTTATAATATGGGAATTTATGAGCTGCAAATTCCAAACTTACTGAGGCATTGAGAAAAATCAAAAGGAGTAAGCAAGTGCAGAGAGTGATGTTCGATAAGGCTATGAGAGTCAGCCTGAAGTAAGACTTCAGCAGAAGAAACTTCAAATACAATTCTTATTCAAGTAATTGGGTGTGCAGAGAAACAAGTACCATGAAGTTCATCACTTGCACTGGCTATTTCCAAGGCCCCGGGATGGACTGTAGCAATGTGTTCACATGGTCACACTATTTTGTAGATTTGCAAAAGTAATGTATATTTAACTGCAGTTAGCATTTCTCTTTTTCCATCCCAACTTTCCTCTGTCCTTGTATCAGTGGGCATTTGGGGATCCAGCAAAAGGGAAATTGAGTTAGGCTTACATGGTTTGAGTGTACTAAGACATGTGGCTTATAAATACCTCTGTGTTTCATCAGGTTATTGCTAAGTTTAGAAATGGCTTCCAGGAATACTTCTGCCACCTGCTGAGATTACTCACTTGACAGCAAAGACTAAAGGGCAAGGTCAGAGGAATTGTCACTATAAGAACGTGTCTTAAGACATGAAGCACCAGAAGTCTGTGGACAGCAGAGCCAATAAATCCTTCCAATACCAGAAAATTCTAAATGTAGGATCATCAATGTCTATTCAAAATAAAAGCTCTCATCTTTAGGAGTATATTTACAATGCAACACATACAATTGTACATTTGTCATGAGATAAAATTGTTTTTTACATTTTTCTACATAATTTTTTTTTTTTTTTGGCAGTGCTGGGAATTGAGCCAGGTTCTTGAGCACACCAGGACAATGCTGTGCTACTGAGCTATATCCCAGCCTTCTATATAAATTAACAGAAGTTATTCTGACATCAAAAAAGTGGATTGTAGATGGGCGCAGTGGCCCACGCCTGTTATCCCAGTAGTTTGGGTGGCTAAGACAGGAGTATTGCAAGTGCCCAGCCAAGCTCAGCAAAAGCGAGGCACTAAGCAACTCAGTGAGACCCTGTCTCTAAATAAAATACAAAATTGAATTGGGGATGGCTCAGAGGTTGGATGCCCTTGAGTTCAATCCCCGGCCCCCCCACCACCACTCCACCCCCTACTCCCCCATCCCCCCACCCTACCCCACCAAAATAAAGGGAATTGTAAGAGCTGGGAACACTGGTGCATGCCTGTAATCCCAGCGATTTGGGATGCTGAGGAAGGAGGATGGTGGGCTCAAAGCTAACTTAGTGAGGTCCTAGCACCTTAGTGAGACCTTGCCTCAAAATGAAAAATAAAAAGGGCTGGGGATAATTGGTAAAACATCCCAGGTAGAATTCCCAGTACAAAGAGAGAGAGAGAGAGAGAGAGAGAGAGAGAGAGAGAGAGAGAGAGAGAGAGAGAAAGAAAGAAAGAAAATTGTAACAATTATTTTTCATTTCCAATCAAAACCAGTAATTTACTGGAGAGAAAAGATTAATTTGAAGTAGAATTGATGCATAGATATTTGTAATCTATTTATGAGGAATGAAGTATATAAACACATAGAAACTATAAATTTTTGTTGATTTAACATAAAATATCTACATAGATATTTACCAGAAGGACTTAGCAATGAACAAGTCAATGACCATTAGCAATTTAAGGAGTATTTGAAGTGAGTCACTAACTACCCAAGGAAACTTGAAATGCCCTGACAAATCTTAGGATCATAAAAGAAACACTTAACATTGGCAGCTTTCCAAATGAGTGCATTAAAATTGGCACGCGATTACCAATGATTGTGAAATAAAAATTAACTTTTCTAAATTTTCAATAGTAACTTAAAAATTTTTAAATTAACCACGTTTAGAAGAAATACAAAATTATTCTGAACCAAGAAAACACATTTCAAGCTGTCATCAAATTAAAGAGTTAATCAAATAGTATAAAACTAAAAATATAGGAAAATATAGCAGTTATTAGAAATATTTATCTGGATTTCTTTTTGGTTGCGGTATTTGTCAGCTTTTTAAATTGTATAATTTATTGTCACTGCTTTTTGCATGCTAAGTTAATATTTACTTTGGTTCCTAATTTAGTCTGATGTTGTATATTTTTTTCTTGAAGAGGTCCTCAAGCTGCGCGAACCTGGACTGAACCCCGCCCTGAGTTTTCAAGCTGTAAGGTTGTGCTCCTGGAAGGCTTCCAGCCCTGGCGGTTTTCCATCAGGAAGTCCTTAAGAGAGTCTGAACGGAAAAAGACAGATATCTTGGCAGATGAGGTCTTGAAGGTGAGAAGCAGAGTTGCCGCCCATGGATCTATCTATGAGTCCCTACTGAAAGCTCTAACCGTCGCCAGAGGCTGCAGTTTCCAGAGCTCAAGCAATTTTTAGTTTCTGTCTTTGCAGCGGCTTCCGAATTCCAGAGGCAAGGTCTGCACAATGCAGTTTGCAGAAAACCTCCACCAACACGCATCTCAGGGCCCGCAGCTTCTTAGCATTCATAATCGAATATGTGCTTTAGGATTAAAAAACAAAAGCAGAACAAAAATGAGCCCCCTCAACTGGGGAAATATAATCAGGATTACTCCCAGATTGTTTATTTTTCAAATAGGCTTTTTAAAACACCTTCAGCCATTCAGGTGTGGGGGCGCGCGCCCAGTTCGTTCCGGAGCGCGCTCACCAACAGCTTTGCCCCAACCACCCTAACGTCCAGCAACTGCCACCAGAGCTGCTTCACTCCTTGTCTGGCCTTCAAAGGGAGAGACTTCCTGTGCCGCCTCTAGGCTCACAAAGCCTGTCGCGGCAGCCTAGCCCGCAGCCAGGATGCTGGACTGTCCTCTCACCGCCAGCCGGTTCTCTCTGGTCTCCGCGCTCCTTCTGGCTTCTCTAACCCTGCGGACTTCGGGTTGCCAGCGCCTCACCTGGGTCTGCGCGCCTTGAATCGCTCACAGAGTAGTGATCCCCAACCTACAAATGAGGAAACCGAAGGAAGCCCAGAACCCTGGAAGGCAATCCCCAGTGGCCACTGAGAGTAGTCACCAAAAACAAGTACTGTAAGTGACTCTGGGAAGATTTACATTTGATTTCCTACAACAGAGGCAGTCTCTGAAAACCAGCCTCCACAAATTCTACCCTGCGGACCCAATCCGCCCCATACCGATCCATTTAGCAAAATCTCGGGGAACAGTTCACCCCAAACCAATGGAATGAAAAAGCTTTGTTTAAAAGTGAAGCCTGCCGAAGAGGAAATCTTCGCGGGGGGACTTACAGGTTTTTAATGCATCATTTAGCTTCTGTTTTCTGTTTGGCTCCTCTTTCTCCCTCTAGAGCTGGCTGCAGCTCCGATCTTCTTGTCACGTCCTATTCTGCAAACTGAGACCTATCAGGGGCCTTTATACCCAGGGCTGCTCCTCATGCTAGTGTTGCACTGAAGAGAAAATTATCAAAGCCACGGCTGTGCACCTGCCTTCTCCAGGCCCCACCTGAATATTTGTACCAACAGGCTGTTTCTGAGTCTGGTAAGGAGGGCCACTCTGACCTCAGCTTTCCTGGGATATTTGGTGTGTAGGATGCAGGGTTCTCTTCCAGCCCAGACTGCAGGTGAGGGAAGCAATGTGTGTGTGTGTGCACAAGTCAATGTAGACTTTACTGCTAAAGAAAAAAGAAATCGGAAAAAAAAAAAATGTTTTCTAAGAAGCTCATGTCCAGAGAAACGTAAACCTCTAAAAAACTGAGGTCTGGATCAGAAGGATTTCTACTTTCATTAAGGACTGAGTAATTCAGAACAATCTTCCAGATGAAGACAACTAAAAAAGCTGGATAAAATATTTTAAAATTCAAAGGGCTAGTAAGGAATTGCTAGGCCAAAACTTGGGAAAGGATTCTGTGGACACAAGCGTGGAACTTGGGATTGCTTTTGTTCTGGGGGAAGGGTGCATTTGTTGATTCTGTAGGGGGTTTGAGAATCTAAACTGAGTTTTGGCATCCTTTAAAGGCTTATGGAAACTGGAAGTCCCAAGGCCAAAAATGCTCAAGCATAGAACTTATTTAAGGTGACTCCAAACTGTTAGTATCAAAAACTAGAATTCTTTTGGGAGGAAGAGAATATCACCTTAGGCCTTGATTTCTTTCTACAGATACTTTCTTGAATATGGCTTCCAAATTATCAGAGGTAACCAGGCACCAGAAGGAGGACAATACTAAGAAAAGAATAACACACAACAGGGTCTCCAGATGCTGGGATATTTGGACACAGACTGTACAACAACTATGTACATGCTATTTTCAAGAAGATAAAAAGCCATGCTTAGAAATTTGCCAGAGAACGCAAAATTCTAACAGGTGGCACAGGAGATTTTTGGGGGAGAAAAATATTCTAGACTAAATTAATAATGGGCACTAGAGTTAAAATATAGTAGAAACTCAAGTATGGTGGACTTGGTCCATCTCTGAGCCCAGGAAAAAGTAAAGATGAGCAAGTAACCTCAGAGAAATTGATATAGTAGTTTACTGTTTTCCATTTCAGCTTTTGGCCATCACAAAATGGATACCCCAAAAATAAATAATTTTAACTATATTAATTTTTAAAGAGTTATGCATTCACTTGGCTCAATAATATATAAAAAAGGTGTGCCCAAGACGATTTGCAACAATACTGCCCGTATTTTGTCCCTTCCCCAAACCCTGCCCTACAGGTAAACAGTAGTTTCCTCTATGTTCTTTCAATGTTCCTTGATGTGAGTGGAAGTAAATGAAGTATATGTGTGTATATAATTTTATGTCATATTTTATTTTTTTTAATTTTTTTTAATTTTTTTATTTTTTTTATTGGTTGTTCACACCATTACAAAGCTCTTGACATATCATATTTCATACATTAGATTGAAGTGGGTTATGAACTCCCAATTTTACCCCAAATGCAGATTGCAG